CTTTTGTCCAATGGACATAGCGTTTCTGGTCCACAGGATTTTGACGGTCTGGTAACAGCCGGCTGGAATCTTTCAAATCTGCAGACAGCCAACGACGAGAGCACTGTCGACCATCCTGTTCGTGGTATGACTACGTTTCATGATTTTAGAACACCTGAGCTTAGCTGACAAGATGATGAGTAACATCTGCGTACTCAACAACCGATATGGTGAAGCTCCTCATAGGACGGGATCGGAGTTCTTGCAATTCTAAACAGTTCGGACAGAACCTCATGGATCTTGTAGACGAATCTACCACCTGCTGTTACAGCCCGAAGCTTCCGGAGAACACTTATCAAAGAGTTCAGCCCAGCCTTGAAACACTAGTTGAGTTTCTTCATGGTACACTGCTATCAGTTCCAAGAGCAGTCTAGATAGATATGGAGATAGGGGCTAACTTTGACCCTTAGCTTTCACCGCATCTGAACCATATCTGTGAGTCATTCGAAATTATAGCATACGATTCTGACAGATCGATTGTTCTCTAACAATCTCTCGTAGTGGGTCGAGATACATAGGAGAGACTGAGATTTCACGACTCTTCGAAGATGTGGTTATGAAGGGGATGTCGGACCATGTCAATAGTTCGATCGTGTACGCGGCCCTTTCTATCGGTTGTTTGACCTCGATGAGGCGATCCGGAGTGTCACAAGAGACAGAATCGCACATGAGATGCTTATATAGCAACGCAATGGTGCACATCGAGAAAATACACATGTGCCCTTCAACAGCTCTGAGCTTCAAGGTACCTCTACACACCGCACTACTTGAGTACAGCGAGCCATTCTGACTGAACTATTTAGGCGCTTATTACACTTGTAAGTATAGGAGTCGATTTGAAAGTCTTCTAAACACTAGTATGTGAAATTCTCATTTATAGCTGACACCATTCGCAAAGCTTGTTGCCTCAGCCTTGTGGAAACCAGCGGACACGGATTGGTTGCTAGGAGTTGCAGTCTCCTGCGCCCAATCCCTTAAACTAAACAATCTAGCATGCTTGAAGACAGTTTGTCAAACGACCGAAGAGGTCGAATCATTAAAGCACGCGTTCTGGCTGCTGTACACTATCGAAAAGCCGTATCGATTGCGAAACGGACAAGCTTCGGTAAGCCTGCCGACTCTATGCATTAGCCATATCAGTCATACACTAACCTATATACTCTTGCCTAGGCTTTGAATGATGCCTACATCGACCACGAGCCGATGTCTTCCGGGATCGAAGCCAGAAAGCCGTTGATGCAAACCTTTGGGGTTCATTACCGTCTAGCTCAATGTTGTGCCAGGATAGCAAGCGACTTTGACAGTCAGGAAGCTCTTTCACAGTCTATGGTCTTCACATCAGAGAATCTAGACAACTGGTTGGAACAGCTTCAACAGTTGAAAGTTGACGTCTTCACGACACGGCATCAGCCCGCATCAGCCATGACGTGGGATCCGAGAATCGCCTCACCGAATAGTCCGTGTATGACACCTTCAGAGGGGGATATCTCAGCAAGCCTACTCTACTTCGAGCTAGTGTTGTGCGTCTGTGGACGTTTTTCAGCTAGTTCTTTGGGTGACTCAAGCACTGATAAGATTGAACAAAGGGTTCTTGAGTCTGCTATTGATATCTTGAAATTACTCGTCGAGGTCGATCCCACCAAGGCGGGTACAGATCAGTATGTCTCCGTCGCTTTGTCTTCTTCGCTCTTAGCACTAACCTAACACTCTTCCAGGAATTTGGTGCGCATTGCCGTCAGTTCGTTCTGCCTCGTTGCGACTTTCATCTCAAGGGCGAATGAGCGGGCCACGATCTTCAGATATCTGGTTTCAACGCTCGGTTTCTTCGCTCGGATGACAATCAATTCACCACTCATGACTCTGGGGAAATTCAGCTCCGTGGTGGACTCAGTGCAAAAGGTACTCAAGAATGATGGTTGAAAAGCTATTAACTAAGGTAGTTTCTGATTTACAATTTCAATACCCTTCAATAGATTAAGCTTCAGGTTATCTGGCGAGTTTGCCTTGGTATGGTATGTCTTTTTATGCCCTTTCTCGTCTTTCTGATGGGCAGGTGTTGAAATTCCGATGGCCTTCAGTCACCTAGTTGTAATAAAGATTTATGGACGATTGATTTTTACATGCTTTCATTTGAATAGCATATCAGAATGCTGGTACATTTCGAATATCAGCAGTCCTCCCATCCGATACTTGCTCTACGACTCTGTAGGATTCTGTTGTCTCTAGTGAACCAGCCACTCGTTGATCTTGCTCTCTTCCAGTCGGCATTGGTGGGCAAAAATGTAGTGGCATCACAGTACCTACTTGAGGCAAGTCTAAGCGCCTGGATGAGGTTAGCCATGCCTCCACTCGTCTCAACGAGTTCCTCTGCGGGGTAAACGGAGCACGCCCCGTGGAGAAGCCATACATGGCGTTACAGACTGCGTGGACCTGTCTTTCGCCAGTTCGTCTCATTCGACATAGCTCAGGGTCCGATCGTCGGCCTCGTGAGCGTGTACAAGCCGATCCATACTCTCACCCCTCGCCAAAGTTCTCGATGTGCTACTTACCCCTACTCAATTGCCCCAAGATTAACATCATTCAGATCACAAAATCGTCTCCCGTAGCACCCTCATAACACCGTGGTACATTACTTCAAAGGATTGCCTTCGTGAACTGCGAACGCCGGCAATCAAGTTTCTATAGATTAGCAGCTGGTCTTTCCATACTTCCAACATATTCGGCGAGATGACGGACCCCACCAAGAAATCAATCGCACCTTATAGCGTGGTCGGAAAGACGGCCATTATCACAGGGGCTGGCTCAGGTATCAACCAAGCGGACCTGTCACCACCGCATTAGAAAATATTTAGTAATTTCATTAATCCTAGGTATCAACTTTTCCTTTGCTGAGCTGCTCCTTCAGCGTGGTTGCAATGTCGTCATTGCTGACCTGGCTCTTCGGCCGGAGGCGGAGCAGCTCGTTTCGAGCTACCAAGACAAGTCGAACGCCAGGCCACGCGCAGTCTTCGTCAAGACCGATGTGACATCATGGCCGGCACTATCCAACATGTTCAAGGTCGCCATGGAGGAATTTGGGAGCTTCGATATATTCTGTCCCGGAGCGGGTGTCTATGAGCCGCACTGGTCCAACTTCTGGCACCCTCCTGGGTCATCCGAGAGCAAGGACAGTGTAGAAGGCGGGAAATATGCTCTGCTTGATATCAACATCACCCATCCCATCCGTTCTACGCAGCTGGCCATCTCGTACTGGCTTCATCCCAAGGAGGCCACGAACGCCGCCTTGCCACCTTCTATCGAAGCTTCGCCCGAAAACCCAAAGTGCATAGTTCACATTTCATCAGTGGCTGGACAGGTTGCAAACATCAATGCTCCTCTCTACGCAGCTTCCAAATTCGCTATTACTGGGTTCGTCCGCAGTCTCGCTCGCTTGGAAGAGACAAATGGGGTCCGCGTTAACGCTGTTGCACCGGGTGTCGTTCGGACGCCGCTCTGGACTGAGCATCCGGAGAAGCTGGTCAATCTGGACGAAGCGCAGGATGGTTGGGTCACCCCGCGAGAGGTTGCTGAGGCAATGCTACGATGCGTCGAGGAGGAAGCTCTTGTCGGAGGATCAATTTTGGAAGTTGGCAAAGACAACACGCGCTTGGTCGAAGCTTTCAACGCGCCGGGTCCAGACCCCGACCCAAAGAGGGGCCTTGTTGCCAGAAACGGGTCAAAGGGAACGGACATGGTCTTTTCTTGGTTGAGGGATGCCACCAAATGGGCTGTTGGCAGAGATTGATATTATTACATGAGGCGTTGAATTTGCATGTATGTAGGTCGAAAACGCACTCTATGGTCGTAATGTACGTCCTGCATATCCCGGAGTGCCTGTGCTTAATGGCGCCGAGCGACGAATGTGGCTTGGACACTTGACTACGTGTAAGTTCTCAGGTATCCAAGGTAGTCTGATATCAGAAAAGCTCGCCTAGCGAGACTGCGCAACCTTCGACTATCTCCGACCAATTCACTTGATGAGGTGCCTGGTGCACTGACAGACGATAGGAGTCACGAAATCAATTTTGGGTTGCTGCACGGGGACGTGATGAACAAAATTCACAGATCGTGAGAATAGCGCATAAGCCAATACCATTAATGACCGCGGCAAACGATAGCACAATTGTGCAGCATCAGGTCTAAACAGTACGGAGTATCCAAACTTGTATCAGAAGAAGCGCGTGCTCCAAAGGGTTTTAGCCGAAGGCGCTTGACTACGAGGGCTGGCCTGTGAGCCGTTTGACTTTCGACCCCCGGTCTAGCGGGCCTACGAGAGATGCTCCCTCCTATGGCTGTTCGAACGAACAAATACGGACGTCTCGGCGCGGCCAAACCGGAGCAGGTACGGGCATGTATGGTCTGGTTGCCTGTCTCCAAAGTGGGAACCAGTCTGGAATCTTGTGGGTGTCAGCTCATCGCACGGAAAGTTTGCTCAAGCAGAAATTCAAGCTCAGTTTCCCAAATCAATGCCTTGTTAAGAGACTTGGAAGCATGATCTTGCCACGTGCAGTCCAGGTGCAAGAATCTAAGAACTACAATGACACTGTGCGTACTGCACGCTCAGAGTTCAAGCTGTCACTAGGCCAAAGGATGAGTGGACAGAACGGACATCCAGGGCCGACCCCTTTATGGTATTTCTGCGGCAAGGCGCAAGAAGCACGTCGAGGATCGTACAGTGAGGTGTACGGAGAAGTCGGTAATTGCGCTCAATTTGTTAGAGTTCGGCCACTGACAATTCGGCTTGCACCGAAAGCGAAAGCCCGTATTGCACTTTACAGTAGGGGCCAAGCGATGGTCTGCGCGAGTCAGGGGTCTTTCCCAGGAACCTCAGATCTTTTATAAGGATTGAGGCGATTATTGATCGTGGTCGAAGGATCACGGTTGAAATTCTTTTGGTTTACTCAGCTGTCCGCCGGACCATCATGAAGTCATTCATTAAGCAGGCTGCCTTCGCAGCTTGCCTCCCATGCTTAGTTGTAGCTGATTACAATGACGCGTTTGTTGTTGAGTTCGATTCATCAGTGCAATTGGTAAAGCCACCCAAGTGTGTCCCGGTAGCGTAGATGCCACTAACCTAGCAACAGAGCCCAGCAGATCTCATCAGCCGGACTCAGGCATCTTTGGCAGCTTCTGGCTTAGACTGCACTGCATCTTCGCGATATCATTTCACTCACGCTGTATTTCAAGGCGGATCTTTCAACGTCGACTGCACCAACAATGGAGTTTCTCAGAAGGCGGTGCTGTCGACCATACAGTCGATTGATGGCATTCAGAAGGCCTGGCCTGTAATTTCAGCAGCACCAGCCGTCCACATGCCGAGAATTCCAGGTATTTCTGACGGCGATTGGGGAAGCAGCACTCATGGTTCGTCCAAGCGCGACTTGTCTCAGGTCTTGGCTCTCCAAGCAAGAGACAATATCGCAGCCGATACCTTGCCGACGCATGTTGATACTGGGGTGTCGAAGCTACACGCCAGCAATATCACTGGTAAAGGCATCCGTGTGGCAGTCATTGACAGCGGTTTCGACATCGATACTCCGGGCCTCAGCAAGACCAACATTGTCTATGCTCACGACATGACAGACGGCGACAATGATGTTCGTGACAACTGTTCCTTCCATGGCACACATGTTCTGGGTATTGTAGGAGCCAAGGGTGATGAGGGGAGGTTTGGTGTCGTTGGCGTGGCCCCTGATGCCACATACGAGCTTTACCGCATCACAGGTTGTACTTCAGGAACTACGGATGACGCGATCATCAACTCGTTCCTCGAAGCTGCAGAAAGAGGCGTCGACGTTATATCATGTTCATATGGGGGTGCCCTTACTTTCCCTGAAGGTAATTCGGCCCCATTCTAAGTTCTAAACTCAAAGAAGGGGAAGTACTGACAGGTTCAAGACCCCTGGTCTATCGTAGCCACACGACTGTTTAACAATGGCACCTATATCTCCCTTGTAGCCGGAAACGGTGGCCCTGGCATCTTCACAGGCGCCAGCCCTGGGGGTGCAGATGCTATCGCCGCCGTTGGGTCTACCGACAACTCGCAAACTCCTTACTACAACTGGGGAGGCAATTGGACCGCAGGAGGTGAAGGTGGATCGCTTCGCTTTGTCCCTGGCATGCCGTTCGACTTCCCATCAAAAGAAGGGCTGACAGTCTGGACTTCAGACACACCCAACACCAATGGTTGCCAGCTGCTCCCTGATAAGTCTAGTTTGCCGGCCGACTTGTCCAAAGTCATTTTCCTCTCCCAGTTTGACCAATGCTGGATGGCAGCCGATAACTCTACAGTCTCACTCACGAAAGAGTTTGGCATCCCTTATGTCATGTACTACAGCTGGAGCAATTACACGGTCTCTGAAGGCCCGCTATTCCTCAAGGTCTCCGCAGCAAACCAGAAAGGGGCTGTCACGGTTGACTATGAAACAGCAAAGCAACTACTGGATGCCAAGGCAAAGCACGGTTCCGTTCAGGTGTTCCTTGCCAACGAGGTCTCTTTTGCAGATGTTAGTCTCACTTATAAGGCCAATAACCGCTCTGGTCTCATGAGCTCCGTGTTCACCAGCTGGGGCCCAACTCTTCGAGCAGGATCCATGCCCGCATTCCATGCCCCCGGAGGAAATATCTTGAGTACTTTCCCTGGATGGCTTGGAGGCTATGGAGTGGTCAGTGGTAAGTTGAACCTCTATCCGCGAGCTATGCGAGCACTGTCATTGATAGGTGTGTTACGTTAGGCACTAGCCAGGCCACCCCGTTTGTCGCCGGCATCGCTGCGCTTGTCAAACAGCAGCATCCAGATTACAGCTCTGAAGATATCCGGAATGTCATCGCGGCCACATCACGGCCTGTCAAGTGGTACGATGGAAAAGGAAACACTGGAGACTTCCTGGCACCCGTCTTCCAACAAGGGTCTGGCCTTGTCGACGCGTGGGGAGCAGTTCACTCGACCACATTACTCAGCGCCTCTGCCCTTTCATTCAATGACACGGCCAACCGCCCCAAAGAGTTAACCTTCACAATCAAGAACACCGGGTTGAAGACTACCACCTACGATCTGAGTCATGTTGGAGCCAGCTCTGGCTATGTGCTTGAGAAGGTGGATAGCTACCAACTCACTGAGGCCGTGGTGTATCCAGTGTACGCCGAAGTCAGCATCAACCCTACAACTCTCTCAGTTGAGCCAGGGAAGACAGCCACTGTTTCGGTTTCGGTCTCAAAAGAGCCCGCTTTGTCGGAAGCTTCAACTCGTGTGTCCTATTTTGGAGGCTACATCAACATTGAAGCCAAGGGTGCAGCTGACATCAATAAACTCTCGCTACCCTACACCGGCTTCGGCGCGCCATTGACTACCTTACACAGCATCAACCGGGACAAATCTTATCTGTCGTCATACAATGTAACTGCCGGCAAGGCATCGCATGCCGAACCAGGCCGCGTTTATACCTGCACGTTGAACATCACCGCAGATATTCCAGCTTCGTTCCCAGGCAATGAGTTTCCCGGCATCGAGGTCTTCCTCTTCTTGCAGTCGCGCAACATGAGCATTCACATGGTAGACGCAAAGACTGGAAATGTAGTGGTCAACTCCTACCAGAGTACGTCAGAGGTCCCATGGAACGGTTCCACTTGGTATTGGGATGGTTCCGACGATAACAAAGCTCCCGTGCCGGCTGGTACTTACATCTGGCGCGTCAAGGCCCTGAAGATGCTTGGAGATGCGGCGAAGGAGGAGGACTGGGAAACCTGGGAAGCCGGTACATGGGTTCTGGAATACACTGCTGACAGCATTTTCCCTTCGAGTTCAACGATTCCGAAAAGGTAACGCAATAATATGGGAACACCGAAATAGTAAGGTCAATGCAAACCCAAATGATGAAGTCTGGCGAAGATGGGATTTACATCCAGTGGTGTTGAACACGACCAGATAAAGTAAATTTATAAGGTCACCACGAAGAAGAAACTAAAACAATTGGAGTCTCCGTTCCCATCTTGAGCTCTTTAACAACGTTGCCTACCTTAGCCTGGGGAGTCGCGACAGGTCAGTCAACCCCTGTTGAGCTCGCTTGCGATGATGAGCCACGCTTGGCACTGGTCAGAGAAGTAAGACCTAGCGGAACAACCTTGCTGCCTTGCACGTACAGAGGACTTTTTACTTCCCAGTTCGGGCAAGTTTGTCTCAATGAGCCGAAAAAGATCCAATGATATCATTCTTCTGCATAGGTTTGCGGCGAAGTGCATTTACACATCATGTGGTCTGTCTTGTCTTCTGGCAATGCTAAGAGGATCCTCCTGCTCAATTCTCGGACTTTAAATAGCTGCAAAGCCATCCACAGAGCTATCAGTCTTCGCTTTCATTTTGTGCTATAACATATCGCTTGACCTCTATCTAACGCACAAAGACTTGAGCAAGACAAATCCAAATTTCTCACGCATTGCGATCCATTTTCAGTATGGGCTGGTATGAAATCACCGACGACTATATTAAAGACTCGAAGATCAACATCCCAGTATGCGAAACTCTCCAACTCAGAGATGTTTACGGCGGAACCCAAAGAACCATATACCGCGTTGATCAGAGCGGACGACAGTTTCCAGTGTGGACTGTCAACGAGAACATTGAAAGCGGCGTACTTGCGATTGTCTCCGCCGACCCCAGAGCACAGGTCCCCGCAGGCAATGCCGTTGGTATCATCAAATACCACACCATGTCCTCAAGAACACAAATCACCCTACGCAGATCAGAACTCAGTCTGGGGCTTACGGACTACAGCCATGGACACGAAATCAACTTCAACGGCTGCAACTACCGATGGGTTATGTCCAAAAATACCATGTCGACGAACACGCTTTACCTGAAGACCGATGGGAATCGAATTTTAGCAAGATGGTCAGGAAAGCCTGAAGGTCGAGGGGGCGACCCAAGTCCGGTTTTTGAACTATTCGTTCCCCCTCAAACGCTGGACATGGACTTTTTGGTAGTCACCGGTTTGGCGGCTGCAGGATACTGGAAGAAGGCAGACAAGCTCAAGAGCCCGATAAGCAAGATTTTGAAAATTATGGGAGGCCTGGGTCCATAAGGTAAATTTGTTCTGGCAGGTAGTGGCATTGAAGCCCATCATGCTTCTCATTTAAATACCAATCGGCTAAGACTGTTGTAAATGCAAGGATCCTCGTGGCCTGCGTTGAAAGATTGTTTATTCCCACTTTCGGTCAGGTTCTAGATTGCCAAAGGACGTCTCTTGATGTGCACCAACAGAGGTGGTTTCTTCCAGATGGACCAGGCTTTGTGCTTAGAATATGGCTGTGTCCAATTGGTCGAAGACGAATCGAGCTTCATATCGAATTCCCATAGCAGTCGCGAAATGATGACGCGCATCTCATTGTATGCCAAGTGCTTCCCGATGCAATTGCGAGGGCCATACGAGAATGGCTGGATAGCGTCCCGCTTGTCCGCATAAAATGGAGACTTAGGGTCTTGAGCAACACTGGGAAGCCATCGTTCAGGAGCAAAGCTCTCTGGCTCAGCAAAGTTGGAAGTTGATAGACCGGCAGCGGAGTGATGAACCCCAACACGAGTCTTTAACACGTCTCTGTTAGCAAATTTTCAAGCTTGGACGAGGAGAGGGTCAAAGACTGTGAAGCACTTACCCCTGGAGGGAGAAACATTCCTTCAATGTACGCTGGTTCTTTTGTGTCTGGAACAATTCTCTCAAGCGAAGTCGGCACGGGTGGATAGAGTCTGAAGGTCTCGTTGAGCACAGCGAGGAGGTAAGGCAGACGTGCCGTGGCATCCGTAAAGTTGATTTCGCCGGGTGACTTAAACGCAGCTCTGACTTCTTCAACTGCTCTTCTGTGTGCATGAGGCGTTGATAAGAGGTAGAAAGTGCAAGCCGTCATCAAAGTGGCCGTGGTATCACTACCGGCGACGAAGAGGGTATTCGAGTTTGTAACAATCTCTTCGATGGAATTAATACTCTTCTCGTCTCTCCCACGGAGCAAACCTTGCATGAAGTCTTTGCGGATGATCTCAGAGTCATTCCCCAATCGCTTGTTTACGGCTTTTCTGGTGTAGTCAAACTGGTCCATAAAGCCCTTCTGAACATCCCGCGCTAAAATCGGCAAGACGATCCACGATAGCGGGCCAAGTAGTGTGTTAAGTTCGAAGAGCTTTCTAGCTCGCTCGATAAACATGAGGACAGAGCTTACCACATGATGGAACTCGTTATTGTCGAGACCACCCAAAGACTCCCCGAACGTCAAGTCGCCGATAATGTCGAAGGAAGCGATATGGAACCATCTCCCCATCTCTGTCGGCATTCGGGACTCAGCCACATCTGATAACCTTCGTACGAGCTTATCGACATAGTCGTGAATGATCGGCTCTTGGTCGGCCAGAGACCGTGGCGAAAAAGCGTGGGCTACTCCTCGGCGAATCCGAGCATGGTTGACATCATCGGCGTCGAGGATGTTGGAGTCAGGGTCGAGTTGCTTGGAGGCACTGTACTTTGGAAACTGCCCGTGCCCATGGCCGTAGATAGTCTTCCAGGCCTGGCTTGTCGTAAATGTCACCGCATCTGGCGAATAACGTACAACATTGCCGTATGTCCTGTGAAACTCGCGGATATCTTGGTCGATGGTGCCGAAAAGTATCTTGAATTTGGGAATGAATGGGAATATGGTCCATAACTTGGGGCCTGGAATGTGACTCAACCGCGAGAAATACGCTTGATAAATGCCTCGAGCTAGATAAAAGAGCAGGAAAGAACTGAGTGCCACTAAAGCAATGTGAGCCAGCGGCTGAGTTCTCAACAATAAAAAGGAGCTCAAAGCCATTGTGATAATATAGACTGAGCTGCCGGTCTTGGTTAAGTCCACGACCCAATCGACGCCAGGTCCAACGCTGGAACTGAACGTCTTTATGTCCGCAAGGTGCTACCGCAGAAGCCCCCTCTTGACTGACGCCCATAAAGCCGCCATCACATCTGTAACATCATGACTCCACTCCATTACTCAGTTTCTTGGCATATAGCTGTCGCTTGGTAAGATAGCGACGTTATCGCATGATTTGTTCCGTTGCACAACGTCACGTTTGATTCCGCCTCTCCCCCGTAACGGATGTGCCCATCCTTGCTCGACGGCTGCCGGACCAGGGCTGGAAGACACTACGGAACGGTCCGTAGCCTGCAAGTGGCTGATGGATGCTCGCATGGAGGAGACCGCACACCGCATCGGGGTTTCCTCTTGGCCGCGAACCCGATGTGGCACCGCCGAGAAATACAATATGCACGCTGCCGCGCCGTGAAACCGGGAACAACGCCGGGTCGGCGCCGAGCTTCCGCAACAGGAAAGAACAGATGGTATATTTCTATGTTCGACTCACGAGCAAGCAAAACCCCGCACAGTTTCCCCTAATAAACACTTTCCATCCCTTCTTACTGGACGGTGAAATCCTGGAGGCCCGTGTTGAGCGAGTCATTGATGCGTCGAGTATACTCGACGACGCCGCCAAGGAAGTTGAGCATCTCTGCTATGAAGTCAGCGATTTTCCTTGAGTATTGAGCAAAAAGGGGCGGTAGGATGACTTCTTACCTTTAGGCTTCCCTGGAATATTGGTCCCCATGTACTCAGACTTTGTCTGGGGCAGCAGAGTCTCGTCTCCAATACGGTTGACAAGTTCTCGCCACTCTTGCTCAACATCCGGACGAGGGTTAATGTAGCGTTTGCCGTTCTTTCGCAAGTGAACAAGTGTATCGCGGATCCAACCGCCCTGGAGCTCAGCACACGTAGGTCCGTTACAGAACGATGTCGGACCTTGAGGCCCGTAGACGAACAGTGCATTGGGGAACCCAGCAGTCATCATTCCAAGGTGCGTCGTTGTGCCCTTCGCCCACTTCTCTTTCAATGACTGCCCATTCTCGCCTTTAATATCGATCGCCAAGATACCTCCCGTCACTGAGTCAAAGCCAGTAGCAAGAATGAGAACGTCAAACTTGTGCAGCTCGCCATCGGCGGTGAAGACACCGTCGGGGACAACCTCCGCGATGGCATTGGCCTTGGTGTCAATCAGAGCCACGTTGTCACGGTTGTAGACCTCGTAGTATCTCTGCTCGAGAGTAGCTCGCTTGGTTCCGAAGTAGTATGGCGGCTTCTCCGGGGCAAGAAGCTCCTGCATCGCGGGCTTATGGACGCGCTCCAGGACCTTGCTGCGCCAGAATTCGTATGCGTGTTGGTTGGCTTCTCTGTTCCGGATGACATCTTGATATGTCCCCAACCAGAAAGATAGTCCGCCCTTTGCCCAAATCTCCTCAAAAAATGCCTGGCGCTCCTTTGCGGTTGTCTCGGCACAAGCCTGAGGATTGAATTCGAAGTCCAGGCCAGCAAAAGTGTTCTTACGAAGCTCGTAAAGCTCCTTGTATGTCTCCTTTTTCTGGTCCTCAATAGAAAGGGGAACTTGTCGCATGGGGAGGGCGTAGGTTGGGCTGCGTTGGAATACTGTCAGGTGTTCAACTTCGGGGGCAATCTCCTGTATGACTTGAAGACCGCTTGAGCCGTTACCGACGACACCAACTCGCTTTCCCTTGAAGTCAATACCCTCCTGAGGCCACTTCGAGGTGTGACATGAGACGCCAGTAAAGGAATCAAGGCCCTTGAAGTCTGGGATGTTTGGTTTCGCAGCGAAGCCAGTACAGAGAATGAAGTATCGGGCGGTCAAGATGGACTTGTCGCCAGTGGTGATGGTCCAGTGGGAACCGATTTTGTCGAAGTCAGCACTGACAACGCGGGTGTTGAACATAACGTCCTTCTTGAGGTGTAGCTTGGACTCGACATGCTGGAAGTAGTTTCGGATCTCTTCTCTTCCGGGATACTTCTCGGACCAGGTCCAAGGCCTCCAGATCTCTTCTTCAGAGAACTCATAGAGAGGCACGGGTGTATCGACACGTGCTCCAGCGTAGCAGTTCCAGTACCAGACACCGCCAAGATCGGCTGCGTCGTCGATCACAAGGGTCTTGAACCCAGCCTTTCGGAGTTGGTCAAGGGTGTAACATCCGGCGAAGCCACCACCAACGATGATAACATCGTATTCGGGAGAGGACAGAGAGCCCATCTTGCTGGGAACAAATTATAAACAAACTTAAGCCGGAACTCGGTAGGGTAGGAAGTCTAGCTAATGAGACCAATGATCATGCAATTGACTGAAAATAGAGATATGAGGAAGAACCGCATGCACCTTTATGATGCAGTTGAAGCATGGCGCCGAATGTGAGAGCTCATCGCCCCACGAGCTCACGTAGGTGCGGGCAAATTTCCGCAGGGTTTTCCGGGTTGGCGGACCTATTTGGTTCATTTACCTCTGCTCTCTCGACCATCATTGTGTAATTGGCTCTGGCATTTTCCAAGTTCGCAAGGGGTTGCGAAACTTGCGAATGATTGTTCGGACGGACTAATTCATGGCTAGAATTTGTCCGCGACTGCGCGGGCCGCATAGCCAACTGCGGCGATTTTCAGGCTCATAGCGAAGTCTAAATATGGAGACACTGCTCTCTGCCGTAACTCCCTTTCCCACTGATTGCTGAACCGTCCACAGGATAGACATAATATCTTGATTACTCTATAAGCACACTCAACATGAACGATAAGGGCTTTGTCGAAGATGCTGTCAGTATCAACAATTTCCATGCGAGCAGATGAATCTGACTGGTAAAAGAGCAATTATGCCGACATTCGGAAGCAGATTGACTTTCTCCACATGCCAGCCAGCAAAGTTAGTGATACCATATCATTGTAATTCTATAGACAAGGCCTAGGCTGACCTTTACACTAAAGTATCACAAAGAAGAATTAGCGATAGAAGAGCAAGAAGTTATGGACCAGCTTTACCGTGGCTGGTTGCACTACTGGAACAAGGAGTCGCGCGAAGACTACCACAATGGAATGATGGGCGCTCGGCGATTCTATGATTTTGATGACATGCTCAGCTACGATATGTTCGGCAACACCATCCGTGGCAGCTTCAAAGAGCACTTTGACTCCATCTTTCCGTATTGGAATGATGGCAACATGGAGTTCAAGGACATTGAAATCACGGCTCTGTCCAAAGAGTATGCCTACTCCACCATGATACAGCATACCTGGGGAACAGCTGGCGGTGTGCCATTTGACACAGCTTTTAGAAGGACGGGAATCGCGCGGAAGAACACAGAGGGGCAGTGGAAGTGGATTCACGAGCATTTGAGCTTTCCCACTGATATGGCCACCAAGGCCGCCGACTTCACCAGCTCGCTGGATCCCTTGAAGGCAACCAAGATGAAGTGAGATTGCGTTGGACCACAGCTTCTTTAGACTGGTAGCGTTTGTTTGGGGTCAAGGTGCTATGATAGGACAGGCCATCGTGAAAGCTATCTTGTTGGGATACTGGCGTGAAGCGGTGGAGGTTGGCAGGGGGTAGAGAGAGAGAGAGATGGCTAGCGAGAAAATGAGCAGCGGTGGAGATCTAGAGCCTGGCAAGTTCATCCACGATGGACCGTGATGTGCCCAAATTAGTCCGCACTAAGATATCCAGATGGTGCTGTTGAACCCACCTACTCAGATGTTGAAGTCTTCAATGATCTCCTCAAGCATTATGAAGTACACATGTATTCTCACAATGCTTCTGATATTAGCTACTTCGAACAAGCCATTACTGGCATACAGGAAGCTGAAATCATCAAAACCCAGCATCGCGCTTCGTTGACCCGTCTTGAGGCCACATATGAGGTACTTACAGTGGGATGAATGGTCGGCAGAACTTGCATTGGCGTAGTTGATATGCAACATAATATCCACAGAAGTGAAATGTACTATTCTCAGGCTTGAGACGTTACAAAGGTCGGCCAAAAATGGGTTTTCCAAGGCACAAGGGCGAAAAGCCAAGTCAGGCACCCACGTCTCAGTGAAGCGCGAACGCCCTTGTGTTAGTGTTGACTGACTGTTCTGCCATTCTAATCTCCAGCTGTCTATTTCATGTGAATAGCTACTGAAGTTGATGTCATGAAGGCGCTCTGTCGCGGCATGTGGGAGCCTCACCTGGTTAGAATGGCGTCTTCGATTTAGGACATGACGTACTTATTTGTGCATTGTGTCTCGGAATTTGTTGAGGGAATCGCGATGTATTATGTGTTAGATAGCGGCCGACTGACGGGTATTCGGAGGGTTTGAGTGTAAGACAAGAGACCCAGGAGCGAGACACGCCTAACTCGGAACAAGCACCTAGAGATCTAAGAGGCCAAGGACACGGTTCGATCGACAGCATCTATGCGTGATATCCTGCTTTCAACAAAGTTATGAGAACAGATGCGCTAGCATATGGAGAATGCATTGGGGCTGATGTCTTAATAGGCTGGCGGAGCTGAACGATCCAAGACATCACCAACCTGTAAAGGGTTATAAGTTGAGCGTTCCTGATGGGGCTCATCCCGAAACGTATGCCCAGTTCCAGGCTCGTCGCATAAAATCCCTGCAATTGGGTACCGCGTTACGCGCGGCAATAGTTTTATTCGGCCAAGGGGAAGCCAGCTGCGTTATCACAGTTCGCCGATCCACGGATTCTGAACACCCGGGCTGAGACCGATCGGCGATGCGGGGCCGGGTCCGGCAAACGTCCACCGTCCGAAGGAGTTGTCCATCACCACAATCACATGCCTTCTAGTAGGTGAGTATTTCAGGGAGCGGTCAAGAAACTATCCTATGCTATCGGGTATTTTACTTGTCCTGGACTTATAAGAAGCAGCCATCGTCGTCCCAATTCAACGGTCTCACCAGAACCACTTCACATATCTTTAACCTACTGCAAAAGTCAGAGCTTTTTCTAGCATATCTCATCATGTCCACTTCATATGAAACTCAACCCTCTAGGTTAGCCAAGGTTACCAAAGGAGTGCAGTGGAACTCTTGGTTCATTGGTGCTGCTACAGTACTGGCAGGCCTGACGGCGCAGACCTACTTTGCTCCTGGGCCTGTCCACAAGCCCACCCCTTCGATCGAGTCGTGCCTGAACGACGTCTGTGCAGGAAGGTCAGATTGCGTCCAGTTTCCTAGCCAAAAGAATGCGGGAGAAGCTACGTGGATGGCCCCTTTCAATCTCGGTCGCACAGTCACACCCGCGGCGATCGTCAGACCCAAAGACGCCCAAGAGGTTGCCAACGTTGTAAGATGCGCAGCGAAGCATGGAGTTAAAGTCCAGGCGACGGCAGGAAGTCACGGTTGGGGATGAGTTTGACCATTAACACAGAGATCAAGGATTCTGTTACTAACTTCAATGGCAGCAACTATGGTTCGCTATTCCCATGCCTTGTCTATTGCTGCGCGCTGAGAAAACAAAGTACACCGATTGCTAACTGCGTTGCAAGGCCTTGGAGGCGAAGACGGTGCCGTATCAGTAGATATGGAACACTTCCAATATACGCAAGATTCCAGCTCAAACAACATCATAGTTGGTGGCGGTACGAGACTAGGCCAAATTGATAAGCACCTGGGCACTTCCCAGCGAGCTATTCCTCATGGAATGTGCCCCGGCGTCGGCATCGGAGGCCACGCTACCGTTGTAAGTAATTCAAGCAGATCAAGCTCTCCCAGACGAACATTGACAAATTGTGTTCAGGGCGGGATTGGCCCAATGACCCGTATGTGGGGTACAACCCTGGATCATGTAGTTGAAGTCGAGGTTGTCACGGCAAACTCGACAGTTGTACGCGCGAGCTCCGAGGAGAACTCGGACTTGTTCTTCGTAAGTTCCTCCCAACATTGATGCTACATGCTCCAATTACTGATATATTTCTCCAGGCTGTGAGAGGAGCTGGTGCAGGATTTGGTATCGTCACCGAATTCGTCATGAGTACTCATCCGGCGCCATCAAATGTTATTCACCTTAGCCAAAGTCATTCGTATAGCCACCCAGCGGAGGTTGCCAATGTCCTGCATACCTGGCAATCTGTTGCCACGAACCCTGCCCTCGACAACCGCTTCAGTACAGAAATGATCTTCAGTCCGTCGGGTGCTCGCATTTCTTCTACCTGGGTCGGCTCAGAGGCAGAGCTTGAGCAGAGTGGTATTCTCAGCCTCATTCAAATTGCTGATGTCCCTATCACAACTCGTCAAGAGACCTGGGAGAGTTCTCTTGCTCACCTCGCTGCCGAAGAAGCTCTCCATACGGCATCCATCCCGAACAAGCTTTACTCGAAGAGTTTGGGCTTGAGCAGCAGTGACGTCCTTTCCAGGATAGAGATTGCCCGTATTCTTGACAGTCTGCCAGCTGAGCTCATGGAAGACAACTGGTCTATCAAGTTCCAGGCTGCTGGTGGTGCTGTTGCAGAGGTTCCCGTTGGCAGCACATCCTATGCTCACAGAGACAAGGTCATGTTCTATCAATCATACGCCCCGGATGCTTCGAAGACGACCCGCAACATTCTTGAAGATTTTCACAGGAAGCTGATGAACGCTCTTCCTGAGGCCACTGGTACCTACCCAGGGTTTGTGGACACGGATCTTAGGGATGCTCAGAAGTCATATTGGGGGTCCAGTCTTGCTGCTCTGGAAGATATCAAGACACACTGGGATCCCAAGGATATTTTCCACAACCCCCAGAGCGTCTCTGCTCATACTTGAAAGCCCAAATTATTACTTGCTTTGAGTACCTTATAACGGTCACATGGGCGTTGCATGCTCGGTCTTTGGGAGGCAATCTTCATAGCTCCATGTATTAGCAGTCCTGAAACGACTACTAGCTATTCGAATGGGCAACAAAACCAGCATCTATAACCAGTCTTATTACCTTATGACTATTTTGACTATACGTAAAAGCCATGGTCTGGCACAATTGAGTTTGACATGTTCTCATTCTAAAGGTACTTGTCGTGGAACTTTGTGAGATCGCCTCGGCAGCAAGGGGAACGTGAAGCTATTCGCAAGTTGATGCGTACTCCTTCGAAACCAATATGCCAGGATTGCCTGGGCAATGATCATTGCTGCCAACACTTTTGCCACCATATTTCACGGCGTATGTATTCCAAACATCAACTTCATCCTTGTGAGCCTTCGGCACAGTGCCGAACGTATCCTTGTCCATGCGAATCACCTCGAAAGACTCTCTTGCAATCAAAAGGTCCGGTTTGACAACCTCTGTGCCTGTTGATTCCCAACGCCACGGCTGGGCAATCCGGACGACGGGAAGACGATCCCTACTCCAGAGGCTGAGCCTCCCAAAAAGGGCGACCTTGGCGTCCCATTGCACGTGCAGTTCTCATAACGGTTTCCTGTCAACCAACCGTCAAGCTAGCATTGCAGGCCGAAAGGTTGGCTTTGACCATCGGCGGGCCGGAGCCCATACCTCGGGCTTGGGCCACTAACACGGCAAGAAAGTCTAGAAGCCAGGTCTATCCATAGCTAGTGGCTAATTTGATATCAATATCAGACTTGAACTATGGGTGTCAGATGAGGTCAACACCATAACCGACCGGGGCTATTGCACAAGGTGAACCCATGGCCACAGTAAACACGTCCTTTCGTATCACCTAGCGGAAGTGATTAACCGGCGTGCAGGGTAAGCGTCAAATGCCATGCGCGGCAAAGGTGCATCTAAGCGACAGACCAGGGACGGGAAGTATCGTGTCCCGGCCGAGGCCACCGACTCTCATGTTCAAAGTGTAACGCATAATCGCGGAAAGTCTTTCGCGGCATCGGGTCCAGACCCCGACATTGGCGAGATGGGCGTCAACATCAAGGTGGTTGGGGCCTGCGGCAGGCAAACCGCCCGCGCGCGGGGGAGGAGAGCGGGGTGTGTTGAAAGAAATGAGACGCAAATGTCAAAAGAACCCGGCCTTTCGGTGGCCAAGGCCTCAGATTCTGGGTCGAACTAGCTAGGTAGGCAGATGAGGGTTGACAGATGTCCCGTGCGATGCATGCTCGCAACTGGATCGGCGCCATGAATGCCACCGAAATGAGCAGGTCTTTTCCCACAGCTCTGGGGTTGTTCCCCTGAAAGCTTCATGTCACCATCTGCTGATGTTTGGACTGTGCCAAGTAACGTCTTGCCCCTCCCATCTATTACATACATGTCAATGACCATTTGAGAGAAGCGGCCTGTCTTTTCGAAAGGACCACTATGGAGCCAAGGGCAGAGTTTGCCGTCGCGCCGTAAGGCCCGTTGGGAATCGGCCCTGCTTCTAGCGTAATGTTTCAAGCCTCGGAATCGCAGTCCCGGCAAGGCCCTACCAACTTCCCCAGGCACCCCAGTCGTCTCGATCCGCACACACCCATGACGATCCGGCGGCGGCATCCATCACCAGTCTAACTGCCAGTTGGGGTAAATGGGAAAGTGGGCGAGCGGGGGATAGGGGAGGTGAGGGGTTACATAGTATGAATGGCACAGCAGTCTTGAGGTGTCTGAGCGACCGCTGATGCGAGACGGGAAAGAGAAGCAAGGCGTCGGGAATAACGATGATGGAGGACGGTATAGTTGCGGTGAATATAGCCGTATGAAGGGTAAGGGCAGTTGGGTATTGTCCTCATATGGAACGAGGGAGGCCAGGATCGGGGCTGGACAACCCCAATCTGGAGCTTTCCGCCACTCCTCCGCCAATATAGGTGATCATCCTGCCGTCTGACGGTCGCCTACTACCTGATCCGATCATTGCCCAGTTCTCGTGCAGATGCCGCCTTCAGCGAGCTCTCCACCATAAAAGAAATTTCTGTTCTCCAGCCACTCCCGCCGTAGGGTGCGTTGTGAAATCCTCAGTACGGTGCGGCCTGGAGGCGAGGCGAGCCCGCTCGTTGCGGGATCACTAGGGGAGTGAGCCAACAGTCTGGCGCCCGTCTGCACTGTCTGGGGTTAGCTGATGGATAGCTTACCAACTTGCATATGCTTATCTCTGCATGTCGCTAAAGCATTCCGGCTGTGATGCCTGTTCATTGCCGTTGCAAGAGGTGCCACCTTGTGCCTACATATTGCCGTGAGGACTTTTGGTCTAGGTCAAGTCGTATGTACCATATACATCTGGTGCCCCGGCGGTAGTGTGTATGCAGCTTGAAAATGACTGTGGAGGCTGGCTGGACAGACGAGGAACCCATGTCTGGCTTGCATCGGACAATGGCATCAGGGCGATCATCTGGATGATGCCGAGCATAGAGTATGTAGGATCTCGTCGCGTAATAGAGTAGCCAGGGGCTCAAGGCCAGAAAGACGAAAAAAAGCAAATATTCGTACGATGGAGAGACCGATGATGAACGGCGCCAGGGGCTTGGCGGGCGAGCCCGAACGAGGCCTACCAAATGCCTCGTAGATTCTGTTAGATTGTTCTACCCGCCAGCCATGCTAGCCATGAGCATACTTCAGTGAAGTTCGGTCTTGGCTCGGGAGTGCCAGCAAAGTTAATTGAGCTCAGACCAGGGGATTGGAACGTCTCTGAAAGGCTGGAAGAGTATTTTCGTATCTACGGATGGAGATGCGAGGTCTGTGTTGCGGGCGTGGACGAACCGTAAAGCAGGGCGCCGTTGTCGAGTTGCGGCGTACGGCCCGAACGTGCGAGAATCAGAACAAGCATAATCAGCTCCTAGGAGGTGCAGCGAACGAGCGCACCGTTCGTTAAAGCTGAGTTTCTCCAGCCCTGCCGGCGGAAAACTTGAGACTGTCGCATCTGCCCGCGATGCGGTTAAAAAGTGCCATCTGGTATCGAGACGCTTGGAGATGGGACGAAAATCATGTAGCCCCCAAGATCGACATCCACAAAGGCAGGACAGAGGCTTCAATCATCTTGAGTAGCAGGGAGCGGCGGGCGTTCGACGAGTTGCCGACAAGCAGCTTAATTTGGCAATTTTCTCCTCCCAAGATGTCCAGTTTGGAAATCTCTGAGCCTAATTGAGAATTCGTCAAATGCCGGATTACCAATCCGGACATCTGTCCGCTCGGGATGGCCGAATTGGAAAACCTCCGACGGCAGACAAGTTTTCTAACCACCGGAGGCCAAAAAGTGTCTATACGAGTTGCGAGGACCCCGAACGCTTTTTCGCTGAGTTCCTGGATCTTTTCCGAAGTTCTTTAGCATGGGATGCTTGTTGAGACCTTAAACCGACTGCAATCTTCCTTCCGGTGGGAGAGTTCCGAATGTAGCTCAGCCCAGGCACCGTTGATGTGGGGTTTCAAGGCCGAGGAAGTCCGGTCCATCACCGGGTTCTCTCGCTTGAAATTCCGACCTTTCGCGTGTCACACTATGCGATTTGCTCAAACTTTTTCTCTCTATGACGGCTAAAGATTCTCGCTCCAAATGGAATGTGGCTGGAGTCCCGAACGCGATGGGTGCTGTGCCAACATTGGACATTTCGGAATACCTAATATCCGGAACTGCTGGATTGACTTTCCCGCGGCTATTTTTGAGGCTCTTTGAGAGAACTCTCTATTGCAATTCCGGCCGGCAAAACTCTTCCGCAATGGTCTGTGTCGTCGTAACATGCCATGTGTGATCGTCCGGCTTGTAGCATCCAAGTCCATGCGCTTCTTGTATGAATCATTACCCGTGCTTTTTGAATGCCACCTAAGATCTAGAGGTTGATCGGGGTAGGTGCACAATGCACCTCAACCAGGTGATGGAGAAAAGGATTTGATTGACTACAATATGATCTTTGAGGGCCTCTTGGCATCGCTGATATGTCTAAATGTTTGACTTTAGGCAAAATTGATAGATGCAGATGTGTATTTTGACCTACCTAAAGTGCTCTTTGGGTAAGGTAGGCCGTCAAAAGAGTGGCCAGACGCCTTGGCCATGTTCCTGTCTATCAGTAGGGCTCGGCAGAAATTGAGTGCGCATAATGCGATATCACCAATACCGAACATGATGGCATCGCACAATCATTCGTAGTTCCTCTTTGTGCGAAATACCTAGTCAACGTGAAGTTAACTCTGCTAAATGTTACATCAGCCGTGCTAATCGTAAACAAGGGTGCTGGACGTACCCTCCAAACTCAAGCTGCTGGAAATTCGCAAGTTCTCAAACCCAAAAACACCCAAGCTTCCATAAATGGTCTGAAGTGTGTCGAACAGTGTTTCCATTCTCATATCTCCCGACCTTGAATCGGAAGCGTGTTCATGCCGTGCTGGCAGCCCTGGCTGACTGGCCTCGTGACATTAGTGTCCGGTGCAGCAATCCCAGCCAATACCGTAATTGCAAAGTATAGTCACACATCGTCAAGTCTCTGTTCTTTGGGCAGTTCTTTTCATTGTGCCTACCCGATCTATGGGAAGACTTATGTCAAGAGGCCTCTGCGCGTATGATCATCCGGATGCTTCCTTTGAATTCCATGCATGTAGTACTCCCGAGATCCGAGGTGACAATCTGAGCGGCAGGGGGTACATGAGGTTGAAATTCGGACGGAAACCAGCAAGCTCGGGTGGCTGATGTTTGCAATGCTCGGTGCGCGACTCGCAACTCCAACAGGTTGTTCACCTTACCCTCATCTCCGTGCAACTAGATGCGACTTCCAAGAACGTTCATTGAGCCAACGATGTGGCGATCACGGGCAAAGTCCTCTACTTTTTGGGCATCCTTCTTCTTCGGTCTCGGGCAGCTAAATTTAGAATGCGTTGATGAACTCAAGCTCAGCCTTCTCACAGTGGA